CAGAGGAATTCTCACTGAAGTGGGATTTGTCCCACAGGCAGATGTTTCTTTCCACCTGAGAGATGGGATACAGGATCACCTTCCACAAACTATACACACACACACAGAAACATCCTCATCATTAGCCAATTGCTCTTTTCCTTCCTGTCACCTCCTCGTCTTTCTCCACATTCACTTTAAGTGTTTCCGTCAATAGGGCGGCCTCTTCAGAAACAGCTCCTCAGGTTCTAACTGGAACTCATTTTGCAGACTCGGGCGTGGGGCCCTGAACAGCCAGGTGCCCCTAAGCGGCATTACTCTGATTTGTTTTCAGTCTCCTTTGGAACTGGAGCTGGTTCCTTGGACTCCAGGTGTGCGTTTCAGTGTAAGATTTCTGGGCCTGTCCCTGTAGCGAGACTGGTGTGACTCACAGAGATCCTGGTCTTCGCGTGGGTGTTTCAGCACAGTGTTTAAGGTGGCAAGAGAGGAGACGAGGAATCTGGTCCCTGTGGGCCCGGGCTTGGGGAAGTGCTGAGTTTCATGGCTCCTGACATGGTCATAAGTCCCAGAGACGGGGTTACCTGTGTTGTGTGCTCGTAAAATGTCAGAGTGTGTAACTGGATTCTTTGGGGGGCGAGGGGGGGGTGTGAAACAGCAGTGCAGGGACTTTTTATAAACTCTCATTTTCAAAAGACTTTATGTGGACTTGCTCCTAAATCTCACTGTGACATTCACCACGTACCCTCGTGGGTTTTTCTCAGGGCAAGTAACTGTTCTTTGTAATTTCTGACTTTTCTTGTGAGATATTCGAAGGTGGGCCTGGATGAAAACTCAGATGGGGAAGGAGGCTTGCCAAGGGGAGAGGGCCAGGGAGGAAATTCTGGTGAGTTTCAGAGATTCTCTTTCATTGAAGTAATCCTTCATTTGCGGAATAATTATTTACTAATGACCGTTTTGTCCGAAGTGTGAATGGGGCAGGGGAGCCATGGAGATGAGTAAGAAGTGGCCCTGCCCTCAAGGAGCTAAGCTCTGGTTAGAGACACAGACAAGCACACTCATGAGAGGAAGGGAGGGTGTGAGGGTGCTGCAGAGCCAATGTGGAGCTCAAGGGATTGAGGGCATCTTGGTGGGGAAACAGCAGGCCTAGGTGGCCAGGACCACATTCCAGGAGGTGGGACTTGCAGGAGCAGAGGCAGGAGCATACGAGACGTATTTGGGAAACGTTGAGTGCTCCCATGCACGGAGCAGGTGAGGAGGAGGCGGAGGTGAGTGCTGTCATGCTTCTGGGAGATCAAACAATGTGAAGACAGAACAAAAAGCCTTAAAAGTTGGTGACCGACCTAAGCTGTCTGCAGCCTTTCGGAGTGAGCTTGAAGGAAGAGAGGTTTTGTTTTCTGTTTGGTGTTTCAGGATAGATACACCTGCCCATGTGTGTTGGCAAAGGATGAGACAGTGGCAGAGACAGAGTGCAGAGGCAGGAAAGAGGTGGATTAATGGAGCAGGTTCTTGAAGGAGATGGGAAGCCTTGAGAGAGGCCCATCTTCTTTATATTAGATACACACACGTGTAGTCCCAGGATCCCCTCCACAATGCACGGGACAGTTGTCAGTCTCCATCGCCTCTCATCTCCTCTGGTCTAAGCCAGTTTCTGTCTTTCCTTGTTTTTCATGACCTTGACTATGTTGAGAAGTTCTGGTCAAGTCTTTTGTAGAATGCCCTCAGTTGGGTGTGTGTCTTGTTTTTCTCATGGCCCATCTTCTGTGAAGAAAAAGAATTTTTTTAAAATATATTTCTTTATTGATTCCAGAGAGGAAGAGAGAAGGAGAGATAGAAACATCAATGATAAGAGAGAATCATTGAAGTGAGTTCTCCCCAGAATACTCTGCACCCCTTAGATAGTGCTGCCCCCACAACCATTTACGCCATTACTAGGTGGCGACAATTACTCATTTCATGGCCTTGTGACCCAGCCAAATGAAGCAGTTTCTCCAGTAGCATTACAGAAAATGGGGCCACTAATGGCTTACACAGCATCTCCTCAGGCCAATTAGCTCAGTGATCCAACCAAAAAAATCAGCAGGGCTCATTCCTCTGGTGAACCAAGTGCTCCCTGTCCTGCCCCTGACCTCCCTTCCCCCTCTCTTACGGTGAGGCTTTAGGTATGAGACTGCCACCTATTGCCGCTTCTTCCATTTCTCCAGAACCAGCTGCTTCTTCCCCCATTCCGCAAAGTGTTCGGGATGGGGTCCAGACATGCAGGAGCTGTGTTCCTGTATCTGGCCTTGTCTTTCACTGGGTGAGAACTGAAGTCTTTCTCCTGCTCGTTTCAGTTCTCTGGGAAATGTCCTTATTGCCACCTGTGCGTGTAGACCAGAGAGCTGACTGGCCTTCTACGGATTGACTTGGGATCCTTGAAATTATGAAATGGGAGAGGCTTAACCGGTGGAGGTTTCGGAGGGAACCCCATCATTATCAAGCATGCATCGCTCCCAAAGAGACCCAGCTCCTGCCCGTGAGAAGCTTCTGTGCACAGTGCAGCCTTCCATCACCTTTTGTAGCTTCGTTCCTTTGGGTGGGATTGTTTTTACTCTTTTCTTGGTGACTGACTTAAGAACTTTGCTGGCAGAGGAAGGGGTGGGGCGGTTGAGTAACTTTACCCACTGGAAGAATGAGATGACTTGAAGATAATTCTTTGATAAGCACAAGCCTAGAACAGAAAGGACCATAAAGGACACTGCCTCTCAGCAACAGCAGCACCGAGATGAGGGCGAGGGGGAGGACTGAGGAGAAGGTCTGTGGCTAAGTACTAACCAAAACCTGGAACAACCTCCGGCTGTGTGTGAAGCTCCAGCCTACAGGTTTCTCAGGTTGATGCTTGTGTGTCTGCAAGGCCAGAAGCCTGTCTCCCATTTTCCAAGGGCCTGATTGGGCCTCCGCGTGTTCGGGTGGGGGAGTGGGAAAAGCATCGCCTTCTTTCTTTTTAACTCTCTGGGACCCAGGGGAGCTAGGCCAGGGCCTGCCCACCATGAAGTCAAGTGCATGCTTATCCAGTACCCAGTATGCGGGGAATCCTAGCTAGGCCCCACCTAACGGCATGTCCCTGCTCTAATGAATCAGGACAACTCAGTCTGAACCAGAGTGTCCAGACTGGGAATGGGAGAGAGACTCACAGAGCCATGTCCATTGTCTTTGGCCTAAGCCAGGAGATCCTCGCTCACCTGCATGTCTTGTCTTAATAAGATGGAAGACCTGCCACATTTGCTTGAACCTAAAGCTTTCTGGTTTGTTTTAACTCTAAAAGTCCTGCTCTTTCAAGTCTGGCACCCATGAGCTTTGCCTCTCTGTACTGCCCGACCATGGACCATCGGTGGTGTGCCATTTTTACTGCTGTTTGGTGTTGCCTTCCCTAAGATGGGGACTGGGAGGTTTGTGAAGATGCTGAGTGACTATCCAAGGGGGTAGGAGTGTCGTTGTGGTGACCTAGATGCTGACAAAGTTGTTCTCACAATCACTTGTAATATATAGTCTCCTTTATTTGTAGACATACTTAAAAGGCAAGAAAGGGCCACCTTCCTGTTTTACAGGTGAGAGACTGAAGAGTAGAACTCTGAGCGGGAATTCCAGCCCGTCCCTGGGGAACACACCCAGGGCAGTGTACACCACTACGGGTCTTGGCAAGGTTTTCACTACTGCATGCGGAGGTCTTGGGTCACCCTTTCCACTGTTGCTGTCTCTCCTCTTCCACCGAACTGCCAAGTCATGGGGAAAAGGAAGGAAAGAGAGGCCTGTCCACACCCCTGGGCTGTCTCAGCTCTCCGGGGGCAGAGAACCAAGGTTCCTGAAGAGCAGGGCTCTGGCGTAGGGCGTCTCTGTTGAGAAGGGTGGGCCAGTGAAACCTGGTGCCTGGGCGTTGGCCCGGAGCCCACCCCCTCAGGCATCCAGCTGGCCACTACACTGCAGCCTGAGTCACTCCCCAGCAAGTCCTGGTACGAGCATGAGAGACGGAGCTCAGCTGGCCCTGAGGGTGGGGAGAGGGCTTGGCAGGAGGCCACCTCCACAGGCATCTAGTTCAATAATGCCAGGCCAGGATTTGGCACCTTAGTTTGGTTCTTTATTGGGAAAGTCTGCCCATTACAGTCCAGTATCTCAACTTGCCCACCTATGAAATGGGATTTCCATAAGATTGGAAGATCACTTGGAGGTTTCTCATGTGATGTTTGTAAGGATCACTGGTAAGAAAGCAAGTACCTAACCTAGAACTGGGCAGGTCAGCTTGTAAGTTTTCCCTGTGTGGAAAGAGAAAGGAGCTAATGTGGACGCCCTCGGGGGGGACTGTGAGGTCTGATAGGAATCACAGCTGCCATCACTGGCACATGGGTGTGCCCTTTGGCCAGCTTATTTCTTGTTTTATTGTATGGTATATACACAGAGCAGAGCATAAAACATGAATGGCTTAAAGAATAACTATGAAGTGAATATCCATGTCACCACCACCAAAGTCAAAAGCTGGAATATTGCCAGTGCCCCAGACCCTGCCCCCAAGTGCTCTTCCCTGATGAGAACTCCTCCCTCCTACTACAGGTCACCACCACTCGACTTTATAATAATCACTTCACTTTCTTCCCTTTGTCATCTATATACCCCTAAACAGTAGAGTAATATTTAACTATATGGAATATATTGAATGTATTCTTGGGGTTCTTCATTTGTTTAACATGGTGAGACGCACTATAGGATTGCATATTGCTATAGTTGTTCGTTTTCTCAGCTGTATAGTATTCCATTGTTCATAAAGTAACCATTTTGCTGTACTGCTAGTAGGTAATTATTTACAAGTATTCCCAGCTTACTGATATTTTTAGCAAATGGATTGATCCCCTACTCCCAATCCTGCACGGGCTGCTGCTACTACAGGTACATGGGTGAGGGGCAGAAACCAAGTGTGGTCTCACCTTCAGCACTCAGAGACCGTGCTCTCCCTGGCAGCCAGAATTAATGCCAACACCGTGTATTTCTTGCAGCTTGCTGGGATTGCAGTCCTTGCCATTGGACTATGGCTCCGATTCGACTCTCAGACGAAGAGCATCTTCGATCAAGAAAATAGTCATTCCAGCTTCTACACAGGTGAGCATGGGGAGACTTGGTGCTTCCTCCAGCTGCGGAGATGCCTTGTTGATCCAGGGACTTGGCCTTGGGAAAGACGTTTGCTCTGGCCACATTGGTCAGTCATGTTCCTTTCAAGCTTTGCTTTTGTGTAGTTATGCCCATGAATTTGCATTTGACTGATGTGGTTTCTTTTTTCATGCTGACTAAGTCTGGAGTTTCGACTATTCTCTGATGTGAAATTGGCTCCACCAAAGTTGCTGCCACTCTTGGGGATTTAAGAACCTCTGTCCTGCCCTTGCTAGTGTGGCTAACTGGTTAGAGCATCGACCTGGGCACTGTAGGATTGTGGTTTTGATTTTCAGGTCAGGGCACGTGTGGGAGGCAAACAATCAATGTGTCTCTCTCACATTGATGTTTCTCTCACCGACTCCCTTCCACTCTCTCTGAAAATCAATGGAAAAAATATCCTCAAGTGAGGATTAACACACACAAAAAAGAAATAACCTCTGTCCTGGATCCTGATCCCCTCTTCGTTTCATGTCTTCTCTGGCTTAATCATCTCCTCAATTCAAAAAGCTTTGTCCTGCGGAATCCACAGTGCCAGGCAAAGGAGAGGTGACTCCTCCCCAATTGTTCAGATAGGGGCTCTGAGACCCCAAAGACCTGCCTCCTGGATAATAACAGTCAAAATTAGTAAGAGAGACTAGCAGAGACACTAGCCCTCTGGACCCCTGGTGCTGGTGTAAAGGCCAAGCACTCCTGCTTTAGGGAAAAGGTTTCCAACTTAAGCAAGAATTGATTTAGCATGCCCTGGCTGGTTTGGCTCAGTGGACGGTGCGTCAGCCTGCGGACTGAAGGGTCCCAGGTTCGATTCCAGTCAGGGGCACATGCCCCGGTTGCGGGCTCGATCCCCAGTGGGGGACGTATGGGAGGCAGCGATCAATGATTCTCTCTCATCGTTGATGTTTCTGTTTCTCTCTCCCTCTCCCTTCCTCTCTGAAATCAATAAAAATATATTAAAAAAAAAAAAAAGAATTGACTTAACGGGTTTCTTTGTACCCACAGGCTCCGTGGCATTTTTCCTAGCATCATTCTGTCGCTTTTCACCGCCGTATCGCCGTGTAAACGCCTCTCTGAAATGAGTGGGAGCACGGAGGGGGCCTGTCAGACACAATTGCCCAGTTTCTGGGACGACACAGGCTCTGCTACTCTACTTTCTGCCCAGTTTCAGAATAGGAAACATTTCATTTGCGAGAAACAAAAGCAGCCCCCATTTCCCCTATTTTTAGGATGGTGTTGTCACATCATCAGGCTCAAAGTATAAGTTTGGTCACTTCCTTCCCACCCACAAAAGAAGTTATTTAAAAAAAGAGAGAGATGAAGAAAACAGTCTGAAGAAACTTATCGCCCAGGCCTTCAGGAAGAGCGTGGTTGGCTGCCAGCCTGCAGACCTCCTTCCCGCCTCCCAGAGGCCAGCCATATGGTTCCAGGGCCCCAGGCTCTGTGGATGGTTTCCAGGCTCTTATTATTTCTTGTTGTTGTCGTTAGTTGGGTTTTTTAGGGTGTGCCTCCCTATTGTGAGAAAAAAGTGAGGGGAAGAAAAGCACAATGCATGTGTGCATTTTTAAACTGCGTACAGTTTTCAGGGAGCAGGTCTCCATAGTGCCCCGACTTGTTTTAGCAACAGCTTGCTTTCTGTGAGTTTGTGGCAGCCCTGGAATGCCACCTACAGAACTAGAGGGGCGGGGGCGGGGGCGGGGTGCTGGGGGGGGACCAGGAGCACTCCATTTCCTGTCATTTCATGTCATGTCACACCAGGCTGCAGGGAACCCTGCAGGGAGAGGGGAGAGCAGATTTGCTGGAGGAATGTGGAGGCGGGGGCAGCCATTCCAGGCAGGTCCTCCTGAGGAGAGCCCCCAGGCACCTCCCATAGCTCTCTGCAGGGGCCTAGCTCCCACACTCTCCCACTAACCCTTCTCTGTGTGTCCTTCACTGTCTCACGTGTGGTTATGTAGTGAATCACGGGAACGCTTCACCGTACATGGAGTGATCCCCATCTCACTGATGAAGAAACCGAGGCCTCGGGAGTTAATAACCTGTCTGAGCGCCATACCCTCAGAAGGCAGGGCTAGGATTTGATCCCCGACCTGTGAAAGTTGCTTCTTGTATGACCTGTACTGGATTGTGGGGAGGACTCCCCTATGTAGGAATGGAAAATATCTATACTGACCGGATGTTACCCAGGGGTGGGGGCAGGATGGGGGCTCTTTGGGCCTTTGATTTCGCCCAAATTGTAGTTGGAGGGGGGAAACCGCAGTATCGGTGGCCCCAGCCAGCAGATGACAGGTGGGAAAGTTGTGTAGAGTGTCAGGAGAGTGATGAGCACACTGTCTGAGGGAGCCAGGACCTGCTTCTGGGAACCTCACAGGTCATTGAAGGCCCTCCCCACCTCCCACCCCCCCATGGCCACTGGTCCTACCTTCAGTGACTAGGATAGGGATTGGAAGGCACAATCCCAAAGAGACACAATGCATGTGGAGGGTTGTTGTTGTTTTTTTTTTTTTGCATTAACACAGCCTTAAGCTCTAACAGAGGAAATGGACCCTTTGCAACTGGACCCCCTGCCTGGGAAAGAGCTCAGCTTGCAGAAGCTCAGGGAGCAAAGGGTGATGCAAGTGACACCAGAGCATCAGTCAGCTGGGATGGCCACTTGGGTCTAGCCTGGCCCTGCCCTTCCCTGAGTGCTTTCTGAAATTCAATCATTATGGTCCATGGGCAAAGACCTAAGGAGGCTTCATACACTGTGTCCCCTTCCACTCGGACTGTGACACCAGCCTTGGTATTGACCCATTGCCCTCTTCCAGCAGCGTGCCAGCTCTACCCCAGCTGCTATTCCCAGCATCAGGAGGTGACCATCCCTTGCCCAGGGGCACTGACCATCTGCAGGGCAATCCACAGGCCAGCCTGACCATATAGCTGGCCCATCAGGAAACCTGAAGGACCACAGCTTTGAAAGTAGAGAAAGAATGGATAGCCAGGCAGAGAAGCAAGTGAAAAAGAAACGTTCCAATATTCAAAACAGGCCGTAGTGAAGCAGAACAGCTGACAGACGGCCTTATAAGGGCCTTGTCTGCTGTTCAGGCCCTGGGAGAGTCAGCCCGTCAGCAGTATTCGTGATCCCAGGCTGCAAACATGCTGGGGAACTTCATTTTCTTGGTCTCGGGCCAGCAGCCCTTCTTAACTCCTTGGTGTCCTCCCAGAGCATAGCCACTGAATGAGGGCATGGGGGGAGGGGGGGTGGCGGGGGGGAGGTGTTGGTGAACCAGAGACCATGGGCATCCACACTCTCAAGGAACGTTCCCCTTTTGTGACAGGGTACCTGACGCATTGCCTACGTCAGCTGACTTCCCTGTTCCCAGCTTATGACTTGGGGCAGCTTGTTTTGTTGCTCTGTGTCTCTTCGTCTTCCTGTCCTAAAACTGGCAGAGTATACACACCCACACTTCTGGGAGGCAGAGAACTCTGTGCTTGGCAAAGGGGGTTTGCAGTGGTGCTCATTAATGAAAACAGTGGGATGGAGAGGGGCGGAGAGAGCTGTTGGGGTTCCTGGGAACCCTGATTATGTTAATTGGAGATAATCAACTGTTCTAAGCAAGTGGAGGCCAGGAGCTCTGCTGGGTTTTGTTCTCCACACAAACAGGTATGGTGAGTGCTTTTTGCAAGATGGCATTGAGGTGGTGACAGGAGGCTGATGTGTCCTCTGTCCAGCCAGCGCCGAGCCCTGATAAACAGGTGAAAGGACACCCTAGCATCTGCCACTGCTACACCAAGGGCTTTTTTAAACACTAGCAGCTATAATGTCAGCCTGAAAAATAAAAAAGCAGAATAAACAACCCTTGAGCAAACTACACAGTAATCCTAGAGAAGGCTCTGTGACAAATAACTTTTTCCATGAGTCAGATGGAAAGCCCACATTCACTTGTTTTATAAAGGAGAACGCTTTGTTATCTGGATGGCCAGCCCTTGCTAACGAGCTGGGGTGGAAGCTAAGAGGAGCTTCGCAAGGAGGATCCCTGCAGGGATGGCCCTTTTAACAGCAGCCCACTCCCCTGACTTCCGGGCGGGGGGGGGGGGGGGGGTGCTTGCAGATGAGCCATCTTACAGCTGCTGCTAAAATCCCCATAAACAGCTGCCAGGGAACTGGAGAGGGTGAAGCCAAGACACCCCAGATCTGCAGCTGCTTGAGCAAGATTTAAAGCCAACAGCAGCCTTTGTCCTAAAGTCTTCGTCCGCTAAGCCCAAGAATGAATATTTCTTATTAAGGGAGGCCCATTAGGAGACTATTCTTTCTTTCTTTCTCTCTAGCTAGCTATCTATCTATCTGCACTGGAAATGCTTTTCCCTATCACAGATCCCTAATGCTACTCACCCAACTCCCTGACTTCTGCCAGGGTCTCCAGGCCTACTAACTGGGATCTGGACTTAGAGAAAACATGCCTGTTTGTTCATTCCCACTCAACGGATTTCATGTGTTTGTAAATCCTTTAGATCTCTTAATAACCCCTATTTACTCAGTCCCTGCTATGGAGCTCAGAGGAGTGACTCATCCTCATTGTCTTCCCGATAAGAGGGGGAGAAGCTGAGGCCGTGTCACTGCCTCTACGGACGGACGGACGCACGGGTGTCCTCATGTCAGAGCCCTCCTCTGCAGCTCCTGGGGCTTGGGCCCCGAAGTATGGAACTGCCCGGGAGGATGGGACTTGACTCAAGGACAAGCTGCATTTGTCCCCTTGCCCAGTCTGAGCCAGGCATGCACGGGAACAATACCCATATTCATACAGCATAGGGGTTTGCCAGTAAACCCACGTGACTTGACATCACGACAGATGTGGGGCAAAGGGGGCAAAGACACAAACGCTCCCTTGTGTGCATTCTGCTCGGTGCTGCCCGTGAGCTTCAGCTGCAGGCAGACTGCACGGTTTGTGGCCTGCAAAGCCTCAGCCCCATACTAGGGGTCCAGATGTGGACCAGTGAAGTCACAGACACCTGCCCAGGGTTATCACTGCAGTGTCCTGTTGTGTATTGTGTGGAAGTATCATAGATTCTCTCCCTTTCAGCCCCTATTTCAAGAAAGTTGACCTGGTCCCAGTTAGCAGGGAGGGATCAGCAAGTATATAAAAATTCATCATTATGATTCATAATTGTCACCCATCCTTTGTATTCTTAAGATTAGCAGTAGCTTGAATTTGTTGTGCACATCTTGATGACATGTCAATCTTCACAACCACCTCGTGGTGGACATTACCATCCCCGCGTTGCAGATAGAGAAGTGGTGCTCAGAGAGATGAGGTGGCATTCCCAGGGTCACAGAGCTGGATTTCAAACCCAGTCTTCCTGGGCTTCTGAGGTAGAAATGCCCCATGGGGCCTGCGTGAGGGGGCTAGGGTAGTCCCTGAAGAACCGCTGTGACTTCTCCAGAATATAACTGCAACCTGGGCCCCTCTGGGCATTCCCGGGGGGTGACTAGGGCTAGTACGCTCCCCCGGATCCCCATCCCAGGACTATGCCTTTTGTTGGGCATAGTCAGAAATTGTAAAAGGCACTGCCCTTCTCATCACCCCCTCTCCACTGGTCACTAAAATTGAAGGCTTAGAACGTGTCACTCACACCCTCCCTTTAACAAGAGGATAGAGCCTTTTCACCCTTGACATAGAGTAACCGAATTGCAACCGCAAGATCTCTGTAGTGTGCTCTAAGGGCAGGATCTTTTTTAAATTTTCTAGCAGCCAACCTCTCATGTTACTGATAAGGAAGTTGAGACCAAGAAAGGGAACATGTCTTACCCATGATTACACAGAACTTAGTAGCAGAGTTAGGACCCAGTCAAGGGTCTCCTGACACCAGGCCTATCTTCTCTGCACTAGAGCAAGCTGCTCTACCTTTGCCAACATGTGCCCTTGGGTGTCACTAACTGTGCGTGCCTCGCTGCCACCCATGGCAGGGCCGGCTGCCCCAGTGTGCACAGCCCCTTGCTGCTGAAAGCTTGCCCTGACAGCTTCTTCTGCCAGGTAGAGGCTGGCAGGGGGCTCATCAGAGTCCCAGGAATTTACCCTGAGTTTGGGGGGTCTGTTTTCATTAGCCTAAGTGGATTCATCTACCTGGAAACAGGTGACAGACTAGGCCAGTTTGTGTCCTTCGTAGAATCTGGGGCTCCCAGGGATATTCTTTGTCCCAGTTAAGGGGTATAGGCACCCTCCAGGAAGGCTGAGGGTAAGATAGGAGTGAGGACTTGATGCCATGGGGTCCTAGAAGAGAGACTGGTGGGAAGGAGGCTTGAGAGCAAAGGTGGAGGGGGACAGAGAGATGGAGGGAGCACAATCACATCAAGGGAAAACGGAATTGCAGGAAACAGCTGGGCCTCCATGCTAATACCTCCATGTCCTGTCCTCTGTCCTCTCTCCTCAGGAGTTTATATTCTGATTGGAGCCGGCGCCCTCATGATGCTGGTGGGTTTCCTGGGCTGCTGTGGGGCTGTGCAAGAGTCCCAGTGCATGCTGGGATTGGTGAGTATCCTTTCTGTGTTCCCCACACCCGCCCCACCCCCTGCCCCCTAGATCCCATAGAACAGAAGGGGTGGGGTGGGGCGGGGCAGGGTGGTGCTGGGGAAGGGGGATAGAGGGGGTGAGAGAGGGGGAGGGTGAATAGGATACCCCAAGGGCATGAGCTGTCCTCAGCACCCCCAGGGTCCCTCCACTCAGGGCCCTACCCCAGCCTCCTGGCCAGGCAGCTGTCTCGTCCTCTCCCCTGTGGTGATGCCTCCCTCTCTTCCTCTCTGGAGTCTCTATCTTATCACTTTCCTTCAGGTGACTAAATGCCAGGACTTTGTTTTTCCTTTTTTCGAGGGCCACGTTTGCTTTCTTTCCCTGAATCCACAGGTACCTGTGCCTTCTCTTTTTTTCAAAAACTTGTTTCAATTTTCCTCAAACTCCAGAGTGTTCTCACTTTATTTCCTCAAATCTCTGTGGTTTTGTGAGCAGTGGTATTTTATTATTGACTGGCTCCTAATTAACTCCTTAGAAATACCAATGCTGGGGCCCCCTCTACCCAGGCCTTCCCTCCAGGCCTTCCCTGCTGCGGCTTTCGCTCCTCGCCCGGGCTTAGCTCTCTCAGCTCCCCCACTTCTGGGAACGGCTCCATTTGTGTCCCCAGGTGCCCAGTCCCAGGGAATTGCTATTCCTCCTTGTTTGCCAGGATACCCTTTACTTTTCTGGTTGGCTAAGATTGTTCCTCGCCCACCCCCCTTTTTACCTTCTAGTTCTTTATGTTCCTCTTGGTGATATTTGCCCTTGAAATAGCTGCGGCCGTCTGGGGATATTCGCACAAAGATGAGGTAGGTGCTTTCTGTAAGATCTCGGGCCTCCGGTGATTTGGGTTTGGGAGTTTGCAGATGAGGGGTGATGCGGGCGGAAGGGTGTCCTGGCTGCCCAGCTTGGTCAGCTTTCATCACGCCTCTTATTCCACCACGTTCCCACATGCCCTCAGAACGTGAGCTTCCCCAGGGCAGGGAATGTGAGCGTTATACTACCCTGGGTGGTACTGTGCCAACCACTGCTTCCAGTTCCCCAAACGGTGTTGGCACAGAGTAGATGTTCAGGAAATAGTCATTGGGCCAGCGTATCTGCATGTGTCTCACACCTCGGCAGCCCTTCCCCAGTTCTTCTGGAAAAGACAGCTTAGGGCAGCGGTTCTCAGCCTGTGGGTCGCGACCCCTTCGGCGGTCAAACGACCCTTTCACAGGGGTCGCCTAAGACCATCCTGCATATCAGATATTTACATTACAATTCATAACAGTAGCAACATTACAGTTATGAAGTAGCAACGAAAATAATTTTATGGTTGGGTCACAACATGAGGAACTGTATTTAAAGGGCCAGAAGGTTGAGAACCACTGGCCTGGGATGAACGCCCTTGCTCCTTTACCCAGTCTATAAATATGAGCCAAGCGATGCACAAACTATTGCTCTCATCTTAAGGACCTTTGCCACCTAGTGTGGCAGACAGACATGCATTTGGTAAGTGTCACAGACGTCACTAATATCCAAAAGCCCCGTGGGGTAGGAAAGGGGACTCTCTGGCTTCCTGGAGAAGAGAGCATTGGCCTAAACCTTGAGTGAGAGAGATTTCAGGAGGAACGTTGGTGGGAGACAGGGTACTTCCCCGCAAAGAAAGGGCCTGAGCACAGCTGAGCTTGGGCTCCATGGGGAGACCAATGCATTATGGGCCAGGATGGCCACGTCAGAACAATGTTTTAGGAAGGACTGTGTTGTCATGTTGAGCAGGAGGGAGGAAAGCAGAGAGACACTAGATGCAGGAACCCTGTTTAAAAAAAAAAAATGATTTCATTATTCAGATGATAGAAGCCACAGTCATGGAAATAGGAAGGGACAACGATGAAAAATACTGAAGGAGGAACGCTGGACGTTGGTCAGCTTATTGATATTGTGGGTGTGGGGGGACCAAGAGACAGGCATCCATTAAATTGGAACAACCTCAGTTACGGGAGGATGGTAACATCTCCTTTCTTTCATAATAGGTAATACTTATTCCCCAAATTTACTTTGTACCAGACACTGTGCTAAGAGCTTAACATGTAATGTCACTTTGAAATTTTCACAGTAATCTCTCGGGTAGGGATTAATACACTTTCCATCCTAAAGATGCAGAAAGTGAGGTTCTGAGGGGCTTGGTTAATTTGCCAAAAGTCACACAGCCTCTGAGTGAAGAAAACAGGAAGACAGAAGCCTGAGGAGCTAGCCAGATCAGGAGTTCTGTTTTGTTTTTTAACTTAAGTTGAGGAGATAACATTTTGTTCATAGATAGAAGGGAAGGAGCCGCGTGGGACCGAAGGGACCAACCATAGGTGCAGGAGAAGGGGGAATGACGGGAGCAGAGTTCCTAGAGGATGTGGGAGGAGGGCGAGGGGTCCCAGAGATGGCTGAGGGGAAGTGGGGGCGTGGGGACGGGGGCAGTCTGCTCGGTAACATTTCCCGAGCGCGGGAATTTGTTGGCTGAGTGTGGAGAAGACGGAACAGGTGACATTTGTTCATTTGTTCTGCTGCTCTCTCATCTGTTGGTCCATCACAGGTGATTAAGGAACTCCAGGAATTTTACACGGACACCTACCACAAGCTGAGAAACAAGGACGAGCCCCAGCGGGAAACGCTGAAAGCCATCCACTATGCGGTATGTCGCCTTTGCGTCCTCGGAGCATGTGCACACGGGCACTTGCTGCCCCAGACCAGTGCGTCTCTATTTCAGTCACTTTTGTGTTTATTTCTCTCACCCCGTCCCTGCTCTTCTCTCTGCAGTTGGATTGCTGTGGTATAGTAGGGGGAGTGGAACAATTCATCTCGGACATCTGCCCCAAAACGGATATACTCACAAGCATCACAGTGAAGGTAAACGTGAAGAGCAAGTGCCCCTGCCCACTTGCTCTGGGCAAATCCCATAAGGGTAGAAGTGAAGTTTGCCCTCTCGTTCTGGGAGTACAGGCATCTAAGTGCTTCACAAATATGTCTTCCACCTGCAACATCCCAGGGTGGTCACCTCATTTCTCCACTGCCTTGGCGCCTTCTGTGTCCCCAAGGGCAGCAAAACAAAGGCCAGACCAGGGAAATAGCAAAGCGCTTCTAGCTGCCTGCAGTGATTTGGCAGCTGGAACTGCCCAGTGCTGCCCCATGTTCTGCCTCCCCCAGCACTCAAGGCATCAGGGACAGGTGTGCTCTGAGTCAAGGACATTGGCTTTGTAGACTTGTAAATGGCTCAAGATTGTAAACTAGAGCTAATGTCCAAACTGCAGAATGGTAAGATGTAACCCAGATAAGAAATAGACCCAAAGCAGGGGCTTACCCCTCTTTCTTCTATGATTTCTTATCCAAATATGGGGGACCCACCTCCTATTCCTCTCTTGGTTCTCCTTTCTATGCACCAACCAAGACACCTGAATCCTCCTGTCCCCTTCCCTTTCCCTGGAACCACCAATGCTCTGGGTGTGAAACGGGTATTGTGGGAGGAAGGAGGTGTGAGCAGGGATCGTGTGTGACCAGGGTCTTGGTTTGCCCCTCTAAGCCCTGCCCTGAGGCCATCAAAGAGGTCTTCCACAACAAGTTCCACATCATTGGCGCCGTGGGCATCGGGATCGCCGTGGTGATGGTGAGTGTCCTGGACATCGGCGTGGGGGGTAGGAGGGGGTCCTCTTAGTAGTTAACATTGATTAAGGGTATGCTCTGGCCAGGCACTATCTTAAGTGCTACACATTTATCAGCTGATTGAATCCTCACCATACCTATGAGGTGGAACTCTTAGCATTCCCATTTTAGAGACTAGGGAACGGAGAGACAGAGAGGTTGAGTAAATTGATCAAAGTCTCTGAGCTCATGAGTGAAGCTTCTGGGATTTGAACTCAGTGTTCAAATCCATTCTCTTAACCATTAAGGTTCAGGGGTAAATGTAAGGTGAAGCCACTGCTGCTGGTCCACAGACCATGCAAGGGTCTGGATCACCCCAGACCTGTTAGTTATCCTGGAATGATCTTCGAAACATGTTTTCATCATGCACCTGCTCTTCTTTTTCCCCCAAAAAAATAGTTCAATGAAAGCTACATGGATGTGAATTGTCTCATCTCCCTCTATAGTCTGAAAGGCATCCAGAGTGGACAGCCCAACACGTCATATAATCTACTCTCTAGTAATCAGCTCCCAGGAACCATCAAGGGTTGACGAGGTTCCCTGGGGTTTCCCCTTCTTCCCCCAGGAGGGGGTTATGAGAACTCTTCAAGGGCCACAGCCCTCGTCTGCCCCTCACAAGACTACCCCAAAAGAGAGAATTGCTTCCTTTCTAAGTGGTTATTTGTACCTCTCATCTGCATCTAGAAGACCTTGGCACAGCTTTCAGTAAAAGAGATAACCATACTTTTTAAAGTAGAATATAAAACTCACAAAAACACAAAGGTGGAAGTGAAAGTTCCAGCCTGTGTGGACTATGGAAACATCTGAATTTGAGCATTTAATTTAGCTCTGAGTGTATTTGTCTCACCCTGAAAGTTCTCCAGGGAAGTTACTTGCATTAGCAAGTGGCTGCAGACTCTCAGAACCCCACCTGTCAGTGATCCCTCCCATTATCTAGCCTACACGCCCCTGCTTTGATATTTAATTCACTTGGCCTCTGATTCTCATAGTCCTTTGTCTTGGGCTGAATGACTCACGTCTTTCCCTCAGCAAAGCCACTTTGTTCCTCCTATTCCTCCCTGTCTTCCAGATCTTTGGCATGATCTTCAGTATGATCCTGTGCTGTGCTATCCGCAGAAGCCGAGAGATGGTCTAGAGTCAGCGTGCGCTCCTGAGCAGGAAAGTTTACCCCTGAAGATCGTTGGTTATTTTCCTGGGGTTTTATTTTTGTTGTTATAGTTTTGTTGTTGTTGTTGTTTCTTTTTTTTTTTTCTTTTTTGCCACTAACTTTTAGTATTCATTCTGCATTTATAAACAAGGAAAAAAGTTATTCTATGTTTATCTTTTTTAATGCTTTATTCATACGGATAGTTGAGAGATTGAGGGACTTGTTTTGCTTTGGTTTATAATTTTTGGTTTGTTTTTGCTTATTATGTTAGGCAGAAATCCTGCAATGAAAGGTACTATATTTGCTAGACTCTAGAGAAAAGATATTGTACATAAAGAGATTTTTTTTTTCTTTAAATAGATTTAAAAAAATGTCTATCAAATTTAATCAGATTGTAACTTATGTTGAAGACAATTTGATACATAATAAAAGATTATGACAATATCCTGGATTGGTTTTGGGGTTTCATGGCTTCCTTTATCTTTTTTTAGAGCTATGTATTTCTCAGATGTCTTTCAACTTCTATCTGCTTTAACTGCATTTACATGAAAAGTAGGTTGGAAGGTTGGTCTTCCTACTTTACTAATGAAAAAAAATCAAAGTGTGAAGAGATGAAGGGATTCTGACCCAAGGTCACACAACTGCTAATAGGTCAACACTAGAACCCCTCTCTTGCAGTGTGTTGTGTGTTGTGTCTTGGGGGTACCGCAGTAAATGTGAGGTCCCTGGTGGCAAGGACTTTGTTTTATTCACTGCTGTGCCCCCAGCACTTAGAACCTAGTGTCTGGTACGTAGTAGCTGCTCAGTATTTATTATCCATTAACATTTGTTGGTTGATAAATGAGTACGTACCCATTAGGGTTTGATCCAAGAAGCAGGATATTAAATATTATGGAGAGAGAAAGAGACTTTGCTACAATCATTGGAGCTGGCTAAGCAGTCTCTGTAAGACGTCTTTGCATCTGATGCTGGAGCCTGAAGCCCACGGGGCAGACAGGAACGACGTGAATTGGGGATGGGAAGGCAAGAACAAGCTAGAACTCGCAAGCATAAGCCCACAGAGACAGACAAATCTGTATGGGCTCTTGTTCCTCTGATGTTGGTGGTATGGGTCCTACAGAGACATTGGCCAGGAGTTGGACAAGCTGAAGTGAGCCAGCAAAAAAGCAACAATTTGAGCTACAAAATGGCTGCTGCTTTATTTCCCTCCTCCAGACCTCCTACAAGGATCGTCTGGGTCTCCTCCTGCTCCACTCTAACCAGAACCGTTCAGGAGGGGCATGCTGGGAAGTATAGTTCAGCTTAACTAGGTTGAATAATCACTGAGCCACCAGTGTAGGAGACGTGGCTCTACTCAGAATGTCTGCAATCTAGCGGGCAATTCAAAGTTAGGCAGGCAATTACTACAGAGGGAGATAAACACTATGAGAGGATAAGTACAGAGGCATACGAAACCTGTTTTTATTCTCCACCCCTTGATTCAGTTTGGGTTCTTTCTTAGTGTTTAAAAAAAAAAACCAAAAAACCAGCACACCAATATTCCTAGCAGCATTATTCACAATAACCAAAAGGTGGCAACAACCCAACTATCCATCAACAAATGAATGGATAAACAAAACGTGGTATATCCATACAATGGAATATTATTTCATACTAAAAAGAAATGATGCATTAATACACATTCTACATACAACACAGATGAAGCCTGAAGATATTATGTTAAGTGAAATAAGCCAGAAACAAAAGAAAAAAATGCTATATGATTCCAATTATATGAGGTGCCTAGAATAAATAAATTCATAGAGATAGAAAGTAGATTAAGGATAACCAGGGCCTAGGGGTGGGGAGAATAGGGAGCTATTACTTTAATGAGTACAGAGTTTCTGTTTAGGATGATGAAATTTTTCTGGAAATAGTGGTATGGTTACATTGTGAATGTACTCAGTGCCACTGAAGTGTACACTTAAAAGTGGTTAAAACGGTAAATTTTATGTTATATTTGCCACATTAAAAAAAAAAAAAATCGGCTGGGTTGGCATCCTGGGTTTCATTGCTGTTCTATGGCCCCAGGTCCCTTATAGGGAGATCCTGGACCCGTGGACGAGGAACTGCAGCTCTTCGCTTGTGTGCTGTGTGCTCTCCAAAGAGACTAATTGTTTCTGCTACTCTGTCCACATCGGGTGGGAAAGGGCTGGCCCTCAACTCCCAAGCTTACGGAGAAAACATCTGAGCCAGTTTTAGTCAAATATCTGTCCCTGCCTGGTCAGCTGGCAGTGAGCGGGGAGGGGTGCATGTAGTAAAGACAGGGCCATGCTCTGACCTGTAGACGGGACCCAGGACCCTCCACCCTGCCATCGATCCAGTGAAACAAGTTCGCCTGACTCCTGGCCCACAGGTCCAGGTGATGCTCTAAAGCAGTGGTTCTCAACCTTCTGGCCCTTTAAATACAGTTCCTCATGTTGTGACCCAACCATAAAATTATTTCATTGCTATTTGTAACTGTAATGTTACTACTGTTATGAATCGTAATGTAAATATCTGATATGCAGGATGGTCTTAGGCAACCGCTGTGAAGGGGTCGTTCGACCACCAAAGGGGTCGCGACCCACAGGTTGAGAACCACTGGTCTAGAGTTAAGGCAAAACCAAGCTGCTACATAGGCCTCAGGACCCGAAGGTCTTATGGAGCAAAGGCCTTTAGGAAGCTTTAGGTCACAAAAAGGCAATAGACTCTGCCAATAACAACAAGAGCTTTGGGCCCAGAAAGAATCACTTTAAGCAAAAGAGGAATGCACCCGCTGAGTATGTTGGCCTCTGGTTCAACTGTTAAAAGCAGCCCAGGGCAACACATTTGAATAAACACAGCTGGATAGTAAAAGGTTATGACTTCACCCTGTGCCCTTCAGAACTGAAAGTGCTTTAAAATCCCTAAACTCCTGGCAGTCTCCTCACAAGGGCCCATCTCTACATCCCACGTCCTTCTACAGCGGAATGGCGCAAGGGTGGATCCAAGACCCCACGCATCCCAGCACTGGTGCTGCTTGCTGGCGCTTCCTTGGGAAGGGGGTTTGACTAGTGCCGTGGTCGGCAAACTGCGGCTCTCGAGCCACATGCGGCTCTTTGGCCCCTTGAGTGTGGCTCTTCCACAAAATACTACGTGCAGGCGTGCATGTACAGTGCCGGGAGCCGGTCCATCCTTGCTGTTTCAAAGGACCTGGCATATATGGCATACTGTTCTTAATATGTTTGCTCACCTTCTTGGCACTATGTGTTTTAACCAAGGTCTCTGAGAAAGGGTGTTTCCCCAGGTAGGGATTTTCCCCTGAAGTTAGGGAGGGAATAAAACCTCTTAACTAAGTGCCAGGTGGGTAATTAATCACTTTAACTACGAACAATCATGCTTAAGCTACATAATCTTTACTCCCTGGAATGGAGATAAGAAACGCCCTAACCTTTGTAATAGAGATTGATAGGATTGAATCAACTGGTATAAATACAGATGTAATAAGACAGCAAGACACAGAACAGAATACGGAACCAGGAGAGACAGAACCTAGGCACAGAACCTACACAGAACGTTCTCTAGAGACAGAAGAACTTCGCTAGAGAGAACATGGCAAAAGATCCTGGACAGAAACTGGCCTCAGAACCTAGAGACAGAACCTAGCGAGAGAACATGGCAAAAGATCCTGGACTGAACCTGACTACAGAAATTGGCAAGAGAACCTGACTAGAACCTGGTAACTGAACCTGGCTGGAGAACCTGGACAGAACCTGGCTGGAGAACCTAGCAAGAGAACATGGACACAGACCCTGGCAGGAGATCCTAACCAGAACTTCGCTGGAGATCCAGACCAGAACTTGGCTGGAGATCCTGGCTGGAGATCCTGGCTAGGCTGCTGATCAACTGAACACTGTCTTCCTGTCATTCCTTCTTCGCCGACTCCGTCCACACCTTTGGGGACCCCTGGACCTGCTGGGGTTGGGCCCCGGCAGTACAGTGTGATTGAAACTTCGTGGCCCATGCACAGAAGTCGTTATTTTGTGGAAGAGACACACTCAAGGGACCAAAGAGCCGCATGTGGCTCACGAGCCGCAGTTTGCTGACCACTGGACTAGTGCATTAAGACACTCCAGGAGTTCAGGCAATTTTTGTTTCACTAAAAGTTAGGTGAGGGCATCTCATGAGCTTCATGGGCAAAGATGGAAAAGTATGGGAGGACTTATAGCATAATGAGGCAGACCCCCCCATACAAGGGGAAAGGTCTCTATTGATGGGCTAAGGGAGTCCTGCTTTGCCTTATCCTGGTCAATGTTTTAAATGGTAACTTGAAATATTAAATATTGTAGATTTCACAAAGCTCTGAGGAATATCCAGTAATTTGGGTAACAATTATGGTTCAAAGAGAGATTTCAGGGTCTGGAATGATGGATTATGATACCCAAATAATGTATCTTAATAGCAATAAATAATAAGTAAATGAAATCAAGCAATCTACAGTCTCTGATCCTTATAGCTAGGATAGATTTGGCTGGTTAGATAATGGGATTTTTCCCCCATATTAAGTCTAAAGACAACCACTGTATTGACTTGGCAGCTAGGTACTGTCAAAGATGGCATCTCTGATTCTCTTAGCTTGTCCCCCATGGTTACAAAGCAGCTGCTGCAGCTCCAACCATCTCTACTTCACAGCAGGAAGTGGAGAAGGACAAATGCTCGCTAAGACTCCTACCCCTTTTAGCTAAAATGCAGAAGCTTCCTCCAACAAAAGCCAACTTCCATTTGTGAAACATTGGCCCCAGTCTGTCACATGGGTACTCATAACTATAGGGGAGGCTGAGAACACATCTAGTTTTTCCAATCTACAGTGAAGGTAGGAAAGGGACAGGTCAGTTGTGAATGTTTTCTTTCATTTTACTGTTCGAGAACTTGAGGTTCGGAGAAAAACATTTGTCCCAACATCATACAATTCATATACTGGATACAAACTTGAATCCAGGTTTGTCTTTCTCCAGTTTCAACCAGGCTGCCTCCCAGGGTTAATATCATAAGAGGAAATTTAACAGGAACAAACTGGAACATCATTATGAGTTGCTTGGAAGAACTCAAAATGCAGGAGATGGAGAAACAATTTCCCTTGAAAAAAGACATGGAAATGTAGCTTACCACAAAGTTAAGTGAGGCTGCCTGGGCTCCATCCAGAGTCACAGATGCAGTGGTTGAGCCGGAGGGTGGTATGATGCCCCAATCTGGGGCCACTCCTTAAAAAGGAAAGTGCCAACCAGAGACCTGAAGGGGACAGACCTTATTGGGGAGGGGCCTACAATCATGTCACCCCAAGAGGAGAGTGAAGGACCTGAGAATTCTAACCTGGGGTTGGGGGAGAGGGAGCAACAACACAGTGATCTTTGTTTTCAAATATCTAAAGGGCTTAAGGGCTATACCAGGG